AACCGTCCAAAACTTTAAAAATTGTAAACCCAAAATATAAATGGCAACTAAAAAGATACCTAAGAGTTTCCAAAAACATTGGAAATCTTCTTCATGTAGCTCAAGGTCCTGGAATCAAATGACCATTTAGCCAGGAGGGGTTATTTATATTTTAAATGAATTCAGAAGTACATTAAAAGCACCAATCTAATTTCTGAACTATGAGCAGACGAACAGTTGAAGCACAAAATAAAAAATCAGTTTTCAGAGTTTTCGAATTTTTAACGCAACACTTGGGGAAATAAGAATCAAAACTTTCAGTTGTCCCGCCCTGCATTAAAAAAATCTTTATAGAGCCTCGCTATTCATTGCCATATTTTTCAAAATCCTAATTCTCAAATCCACAGATTGCACTTAAAAACATTTCCCAAATTAAAACTTAATCATTGCCCAAATATAAGTTCATAATAATTTATCAACAGCAATGTGCGTTGTTGAATTTAACAATAAGCGAGTGAGTTAAACAAAAGGGCTTAACATAAAAGGCACATCGATGCACCGTTTTCCGTTGCCGATATAAACAAATCCATGTCGGGGTGTTTTCAGGAAATGATAGAAAACCAGTCCGGGCCAAAACAGCGACTTCAAGAGCACTATTGAGTCTCCTGCTAATATTTGGATAATCCAACTGCCTTCCGGTATGTCGATATCCAAAGGATCCAGAAAATCCATCGCGTAATTATAATCGTCCCTCGTTAGCAAGTTGGTGTTGTATTTCTGGGTGGGCGGTCTGGCATGTAAAAATGAACTAAATTCCCTAGCTTCCAGCGCTGATAAGCCTTCAAAAGCTAAGTTTTCCACTATAACTCCATCGGGTCTTTGGAAGTTGACTCCTCTTGGAGCGACTGCAGCTTCACTGCAGATAATCCTAACCAGAGAGGCCAGTCTATCTTCCTCTTTGAGTTTTCTTATTTGTGCGGCCCTCAGAGTCTCTTCTATGCTTGTTTCATCTTTTTCAATTAACACGTCAATTATTAGAGCAGGATCGCCTTGCAAGCTCGTAGTGCACAAGGGGGTAAGCAACAAGCCATTCTTGGTTGGCTGAGGCAGCAGGCCCCAGTTAATTCCGTTATTACTGTAGTAGAAAATGTTGCCATGTAGAGCGTCTTTCAGGTATCCATAAGCCACATAGTAATCCTTGTCAGCTCCAAGAATCTTACCCCAAAAGAACACGTTTCGGAAATGGTTCTCGTTTTGCAAAACCAGCAGGCTGTTTTGCAGGACTATTTGCTCTTCAGTGGAGACTATGTGGCCGAAGTGGCCAATGCTTTGCAAGCATTCCAGTAGTGCATTCGCGTTCATTTTCGATTTTCAGCTTAAAAGTCACATTGATTTATTGCCTAGGTATAACCTAGATTGAGTGCTAAGGTAACTTTAACGTTTGGAAATGTGAGCGCGTTTAGAAAAGCACGGTTTGAATACTTTAAAACATTGATTTTATGTCGATTAAAAACTTGAAAAGTGTTGTTCTTCTGGCACAAGCGATTAATTGAGCTGTAAGTGAAATATATAGAGTAATACTTACATATAGAAATTTCTTTGTTTCCCGCACTGGTTAAACTGCGCCGATTCATAGTCGTGCAGTAATCCAACTGAGAAACTGAAAAACTGCACAGTTTCCAACCGGCTAAATAACTGAAACGATATAATCGACCTGAACATTCATTTGATGACAAAGAATTATGTTTTGATCACATTCATTAAGAATTCATCGAATTTGCGAACAATCGATGGAACTTCAACGGTATAACTGTGGGAAACTCCGAGACCGCTTCGAACAACCGACCAGAAATGGCAGTTTGCAATTATAACTGCCGGGCGATAGTTGTTATTGCTGGAATTTCGTACTATCGGTTTTATTACTTTCTAGAATAAATATTTTATAGCTGTGAACCTTGACGTGGCAAACCTCCCATTTGCTTTGGATTATTTGTCTTTAATTTTTCATATCTATTATCAGTCGCTAGTCAGACCAGGATTTCCTCCAGATTATTTATGTGTGAATTATGAATCATATTTTGCGAAAGTTGAATTTTTGTTGCTTTTTATGAACATACGTTGAAACAGCCAAAATAACTCTAACACTGAAAAGTGGATGCTTTAATCCTGTGAGGTTTTGCGCATTTTTATTCATAATTCCCATTCAAACCAAATCTTTTGAAACAATCGATAATTTTTATGGGTTTTCTATGCCAATTTTATTTCTTTTATTGTCTATATGGTGTGAAAGTTGCAACCTACTTTGCAAACACTACAAATCACTTTTGCTACTTTAGAAAGGTAAAATTCACATTAGCACACCTGCTCCAGGTGTGTGGTATTGTCCATCTTACTGACAGCTCTCACATGTAACTCCAGGCATCAACATTTTCTTTTAGTGTTTTTTGTTGCTTTTTGTCTATCGGGATATTTTCACTCGCGTACTTCAACATGCGCATCTGTTGGAGGGCTCTTATAGGCTATGGATTCGTCTTCTGGGCCATTCTTTGCCTCATGGACCTTATCGGAATCACCCACGTTCACAAATATAGCAAAGGTAAACCAACTTGTCCGCATTCCAGCTCGCCGAAAAATTGCAGTGGAATTTAAACAGAAAAACCCAAAAGTTACCTTTGGCACTAACCAACTTTCAACTTTTCCAACAAAATCCGAATGACTTTCAGCCTTCACTTATGCTCATTTTTGTGTGTTCTATGTACCACCCAGCTTACTTTAATAAGCTAGTCACTGGTAAACTGTCCACCCGGAAATAATACCATCTCAAAAAATACTAAAGGTTTCAGTAAAATTTTCAGAACTCGATGAACTTTATGAAAAGCCGGTGGTTGTCAAAAAAATCGAGCAACAGTTAGAGCCTCATCTGGCCAAGGGGATCAGATTCGGTTGGTCGCTTCTCCTGTGGAACACCGTAACTTTTGTAATTTCCATCGTAATTTGCTCCATTGGGCGAAATGTTGCCTGGATGCTTTGGAGCCTGTACAGATTATATCGGTAGTTATTTTGCATTTAATCAAAATATGGGGGTTCTAGTCAAGGTTTTCCAGAAACAAGTTGGTCTGCTCCCAACTGAATCAATACACTCGAAACCCTGGAAGTGTTAGCAGAATTCCCATAATGGTAAAGTCGGCCAGATCGTCTGAGACCAACTTTTCAAAGTCAGAGGTAATTACAATGTTCATTTCTCTGAGGTTTTGGATACTCAGAACCTTCATAGCCCCGCTCCAGAATCGACGTGGATAAAAGTTGTCCGAATCTGCTTATGCAAAGAAGCGGCAGTAATCGGTCGAGCGCTACAGATCTAACCACAAAAACTTGCCGCACGCTATTCAGGAAAGATATCTATTTATGCGAGCGTCCAGAGTTGAGGTGCGATTCAGTGGACATTGCGAAGCCGCTCATTTATTCGACTCTCCTTGCAGCATTGAGCAACAACTGGAAATTCAATGCAAAAGGCTTAGGGAGGAGCTGCATCGTTTGCAAACAACATCTCTAAAAGAGCACGCAGTTTTATCCAGAAAACTGGAGTCTGTTAACAAGGAGAAAAAGGAACTCGTCAAACAGCTCGCATTGACTCAGAAGGAGAATCGGGCCGCTAAACAGCAACTGGAAGAGTTGCTCCAGGAGAAAACCGCTTTGGTAATAAAACTGGAAAACGCCACTAAAGAATTCAAATGCAACACCAAAACCAAGAAAGTGGCACTCGCCAAACTGGAAGAAGTGACAAATAATGTCGAAGACTTAAGGTGAACTATAGTAGTAAAATTAATGAATGAATTTCATTGACGGTCACTTCCATCTTTTAGACAGCAGTTGGAGCAAGTTACCAGGGATAAGGAGATTCTGGATAAAAAGCTGAAACTTCTAGAAATCGAGTACAATAAAATGCATGAACGCTTCATAGCGTCACAACAGAAGCTGTATGACCGCAGTAATAATGAACATTTACCTGAACGGGATACGGACAATGAAAAACACTACTATATGGAAACTTTCAGTTTTGGCGAGTTGGATAGTACCATTCCTCCAGATATCCAGGTAAAAACTCCTACAACTCCTTTTTTGAAAACATCAATTTCTTCATTAGATTTTCCAATTATTAGCGGGATTTTCTAGTTTTTTAAGCTTCCTGAATGTACAGGGTTATTGATTGAACTTTGGCCACCCCGTTGTTACATCTATTTTGAAATTTAGGAAAAACATTAAATACAAAAGTTGTATTTAATAACGTCTAGTTCAATTTAAGGTAATACCAATTGATACAGGGTATCTCAAATTCAAGTGGCTGACCAAACTTACATTTTTTAAAACTGGAATGCCGCACTTTTTATTGCATATTCGAACTACACGCAAGACTCTAAGATAAATTTATAAAAAAACCGTACACCTTGAAGTGCAGTTAAACAAAAATTCGTAACTCCCAAACTACTCAGATCAACAAACTGAAATTTTCGCACCATAAAGAAAAAGGTTTTATGGAAAAGTGGACCAATTTTCAATAAAACACCGACTTCTGCTGATTCTTTAGAAATTTTTAAACTTGTGAAATTTAAAAAAACCGTACAACTTAAAGTCCAGTTGAACAAAAATTCGTAACTCCCAAGCCGCTTACATCAACAAACTGAAATTTTCGCACAATAAAGAAAAGCTTTTATTGAAAAGTGGGCCAAATTTCACTAAAATCTCCACTTCTGCAGATTTGTCAAAAAAATTTACACTTGACGAGAAATTAAAAAAACCTTATCTACTACTTGAAGTGCAGTGAAAAAAGTTGAACTTAACGAGAAATAAAAAAAAACCGTACAACTTGAAGTCTAGTTAGACAAAAATTCATAACTCCCAAGCCACGTATACCAACAAATCGAAATTTTCGCACCATATCGAAAAATATTTTATCGAAAAGCGGACTAAATTTCAATAAAATGCCTAATTCTGCTGATGTTTCAGAAAAATTTTAACGCGACGAGAAATAAAAAAAACCGTACAACTTGAAGTGCAAAAATTCGTAATTCTCAAACCACTTACATCCGCAAACGGAAAGAACAAGGTTTTATCGAAAAGTCGACCAAATTTCACTAAAATTCCAACTTCAGCTGATTTTTCAGAAATTTTCAAATTTGACGAAAAACAAAAAAATTGGCCAAAGTTCGATCAATATTGGTTAATAAGTCAAAACCAGTTGAATATCAATATAGAAGATTCATTTCGAATTAGCCAAGAATTTTGCGAATAATTCGAATAAGCAATAAAAATGCGTCATTCCAGTTAAAAAAATGTTCAATTAAAAACCCTGTACATAAAAACGTTCTATATCTATCGACTTTCAGCAAACTGCAGGAGTCTTGGCTTCGATGTCTCAAACTGAACTAGACATGAGGACAATTCAAGAAAAAATCAAACAGTTGGAGAAAAATCTCGAAAAGTTAAACGTAAGCAGTAGCCTGGAATTTAGCGGCAGTCTGGATCAGCTAGAGGTAGTTTTTGAGCGTCACTAAACCTCAGTGCTTATTGCTGGATTAATTTTCAGTCTGAACTGAGTTTATCAACAATAGATAACACGACAGACTCCCAACATAAGCTGGACGAGTCGAATACAACATTCAGTGAACTATCCGATAGCAATAGTCCTAAGCAAAAATTCTGGACCGAAAAGACTACAGAGTTGGTTGGCAAAAATAAAACCCAATTTGCTAAGGTTTTTTCAGCGGTAGTTTGATTAGTGGCAAGGCCCTAAACGCGAGGTGATTTCAGATCCAAGCCCTGGCCTCAAAAATGCAAGATAAAGTCAGCTTCCTTGGAAACATTAAGGAAAAGGCTGAAACCATTCGAGAATTGGACACGACAGATTCGGAAGGGATTGAGCCTAAGCGTTTGGTCAGCAGCTCAGTGGCTTTCAAGAATTTCCTGAAGAGCTTGAATAAATTGGATGCGGTCAAGAAAGAGCATCCAACTAAGCCAGAAGTGTATTTTTAAATTCATGGATTGTCAACCGATGTTAATAAAATCTTGATTATTCTTTGATATTTTTTGGAAGTAGATACATTTTTATCTGGCTGAATCGGGAAAAGTAACAACTGAAGACATATGTTTACGCAAGGTTTTTCGGATGAAGTTTAGAAGAGACGCTTATTCTCCAGGACAAACGGCAGTGTCCATTAACAAATGTTAATTTCTGATGAAACACCTTGTATACCTGTCCCAGCTCAGACGAAAGTGAATAAAACCAAATTACCACAACTGAAGTTTACTTTCTTTCCCGCAAATCCACAAGAACAAACCTTTTTCTTCTAGTAAAACAACATTTATTCAACACAGTTTTATTTGTACAGACATAATCAAAACCCCAACTTCAACACCAGGTGCCCTGTTCTACGCCATTATCCAAAGTCCTTCTATAGCAATTCCACATGATTTGGTCTTTGTAGTCACTATGTTCTCGACTTTCTCCATTTTTTTCCGGTGAATGCCTCAGCCCCTTGTAGTTGCGCTTCCTTGACTCGGCTTTACCATTCTGGGCCTCATGAGTATTACTTGAAGACTCCACCGATTGAAGGCTGGGGGTTTTGTGCAGCGACAGCCTTAACGGCTTCTTCGGAGGAGTCGGTCTCGGCTTTGAACTGTGGTCATAATAACTCGGATACGCGGGATGTTTGCGACTATTGTCAACTTCCGAATTGTAGTCGGTGCTCTTGTAGCCGTTTCTCGTGGAGGTTGAGTTGCAATCACTGTCGAAGTCCAAGGACTTCACGCTTCTGGAGGATTGAAGTTTCTTAAACAGCTTGGTCATTGCCTTGGAGGGGCTCTCCGGAGCTTCCAGGTCTTCAACGCTTCGTGAATCCGAATATTTTGGACCTATGTGCACTTCGGACCTGAAGTCCAGGACAGAAGTGGATTTTCTGGCGTTGTAATGCTTCAAGATATCGGCGTTGTATTTCTCCGAGGCCGTTATACATCGCTGTCGGTGTTTCTCGTATAAGGTGGCTTCTTTGGTGGGCCGCGTCAGCTCCTGGATTATTTTCGTGGCTTTCTTGTAGCTTTGATCGACCACATCGGAATTCCGATAATCCTTTTCAGAGTTTGTTTTAGAAAAATCTGCGGAATATCGTTTTTCCATGTTCTTCCCTCTTGGCCGCTGGTCCCCATGGGAGTTGGTTTCTGAGTTATAATCCTTCTCCCGATGGTGATGATGATGCTTTCTATAAGACCCTTTATCACTTTCATCGCAACATTCTCTCAAGGGCGATTTGAAGCCATTCCTTGGAGATTTGTGCTTTTGTACTTTGTGGTGGCTCTGATAGTCCAGCTGGGGATTGGGCGCCACTATATGGGTACTGGACACGTTGGATAAACTACTTTTGGAGCGGACGGTGATTGCGTCCTTTTCCGCAGCAGGAACGCTGCTAATTAAAGCAGTCACTTGAGGGCCTTTCTGGAAAACTTGGATGTCGCCTGAATGACTAGACACCGGAGAGCTTTGGGACGTGATATTAATGTTGGTGACATTTTGGTTTGACTTGGAGATCACAGGAGTAGGAGTGGATGGAAGTCGCGGCTCTAGAGCAGATTTTTTGCTTTGCAGCTCTGATACCTGGAATTTAATTAGAATTCATCAACTACCAATAGGGTTCCTGGGTTTTGGATAACAAGAGTCTTACTTGCTCTTCAAGATAGGAAATCCGATGGGTTAGTCGGATGTTGTCACTTCTGAGGCCCTCTTTAATTCGCTGCGTTTCCTCAGCTTGGTCCTTGATTAGCTCTAGCTCAGATCGAAGAGCTGCGACCTCTTGAGCGGAAGGTTTCGGTGCAGAACTAACGTTAGAACCAGTTTCAGATTCTTTTCGCAAAATCACCAGCTGGGCTGGATCTGGAGCTGCCGCCAATAATCTGGCAAGGTCTTCTCTGGATTTGGTTAAGACCATTTTGCCATTTACTTCGATTAGTCTGAAATTCGTTAGATATTTGGGTTGGATTTTTACTATAAATAATTTCAAAGCTAGCTCAAAGTACATCGTTCAAATACAAGTGTTAGCCTTGGAATCTTGTAAACCATTTGTGCATTTATATGCGTAAGAAAATGGTGCTTTAAGTTGAAAATTTCCGACTCCTTCCGCAAATATTGTTAAAGGAATTTTTTTTCTGAGCTTATATCAAAAATATTAAAAAAATCCGCTTTATTAGACCATCTTTTTACACTCTACAAGATTATACTGTACAGGGTTATTCACGCTATACGGCACGGAAGTCTGCGAATTAAATCAATTTTTTTTTTCAAAAGAATTTAATCAAAATCTAATTTAATTTTCACGTGTCATATACTTTAGAAGTATTTAAGTTATGTAAGCGTAATTTATAGCGAAGTGCAACAAAATATAATATCATATCCCAATGATAATAAAGTTACCATGTTATACAGTGTGTCCAAAAATTTAAACTAATTAAATAAGAACTTTAAGCGGCTCTAACTTGATTAATTTAAATACAACCCCATATTTTTTAACTTACCAGTAAATGAAATTTTTAATTACATATCGAATGGTATTAGGATGTTAATAGCTAAGTTTTTGCCTTTTTATAAAATACGTCAAATAGTCGTTCTGTGCACCATTGGGTGATGTTTAATTTTTTTTTTAATTTTAATTTAAAGCACCACTTTTATCCTTATTAAATTCAGCTTTACCAAGAACTTTATGAAAATTATTTTGAAAACCGAACTGAGTTTTGCATTTGGGTGTTAGATAAAGTGGCAAAAAATGAAAAGTTTTTCGAAAATGTGTTATTTAGTGACGAATGTACTTTTCATAACAATGGTCTCGTGAATAGACACAAC